GATTTGTTAAATCCCTATTTGTTACTCCTACTTACTCCGTGTGTGTGTGTGTGTGTGTGTGTGTGTGTGTGTGTGTGTGTATGTGTTTAGTTTTATAAATCAAGAGTTGTTAAAAGGCAAGGAAAGCTTTGAACACTCACCAGTCCGAATGAGTTTTCTTGTGTTCTGCATGTCAGGACATATGACTACATCAGCCCTCTTCCTATGTTTTATACCAGCATCGGCTTACATGCTGGTTGCTGCACTTCTAGTCTGTGAACAACTTATTCAGACCAAACTTTCCTTTTCCCCAAATTAAACTTCTGATCATGTAAGACGGAGTTCCCCCACTCCCTCACCCCCACCAAGAACTGGCTGAAGTCTTGTGTTTTTGCCTGAGCATGCCTGGGCCTCAGGGAAAAAAGTTTGCTCTACCAAGTGCATGGACTGGTGGCCTTCTCATTTGCAGCTTGCAGGATTTTGCTGAAGTTACAGCCCCTCCCCATTTCCATGTGTGTGTGCTGGTGGTGGGGTTGTTCCTATGACTTCATACACACAAGACAACCGCTCTTCCACTGACCTATCTCCCTAGACTACTTGTTACTGCCTTGAACAGGATATTCTTCTTTCTTAACTTTCTAAGTAGGATTATAGGCCAGGTATAAAAATATAAAAACTTCTGTAAAATTAGAGCTAAATTATGCCATTTACAAAGCAGCTCATTATAAATAGTTTGAGAATGAAAAGGTCCATGATCATTCTTAATCAGAGGAATATTTTTTCTTTTCATTTTCAAAAGGAATAGTTAATAACTGAAATGCGTCCCTTGCATTTACATGGATAAAAGCATCTATTAACTTGGCTGCTCAGATTATGCCATCAGCGCCGCCTAGTGTGCAACACATGTACAGACACAAAGCCAAACTCCAGCTGAAACATTGAAAAATGTTCTTTAGACCTTTGGGAAAGTTACAGGCAGGGCCATCTAGAACATATTTCTTTGTGATTCACTCTTGTATCATCAGTACCATTTTACAAACAAATGAAAACATAGACAATAAGAGACTATGTCAAAGAGTAAATGAGTATCAGGATTGTGAGGGACATGCACAGAAAGCCTGGGGAACCAGTGCTTGTTCAACGTCTGCTGGGTGTTTTGCTCTGACCCTTTCCTTGAGGCAGAAGAAGGGATAGTGGTGTTTTCCTGTCACATTTTTGTAATGGATGCTGATATAGGCATTGTCAATTCCCAGCAAGTCACTCCTGGACAGCAACTCTATGATTCTCTGGTGTGGTTTGTAAACAGGCATGGGGAGTGCTCAGTTCTGAACCGTCCTCTCAAGGGTGGATAACAATAGTGAGAAGTCTTGGAAGCAGCATGTCCTTGCAGAGCAGTGTAATATCTCCATCGGAGCAAGACTGGAGAGGCCAACCTACCGCCCCTTATAGGATTGGGGTTTCATGAGCCTGGCGTTGCTCAAGGGATGCAGTGAACCTAGTGTGAATCCAAACCACTGACAGGACATCTCCATCCTACTGTGGAGGGACTCGATGCAAACACAAAGCCCCTGCTGCCTGCAATGGCTTAAACAATGAACTTCTTTTTATTAATTAGGAATTCTTGTTTCTTCTAGAAGTAGCTATAGAATATTGGGTGATCAACGTTTTGAGACTCTCATGGTTCTTGACAGTCACCACCTAAAGGAGCTCCTACCTGCTAGATGCAGGGGTGTCCTCTAGCCATATAGTGGCTGGTCTTGCTCATCTCCAGGATGAGGAATATCCCCACTTGCCACGCCCTTCCTCTGACCACAGTGCTATCTGATTTTAAGGAAACTGGAGAGTATGACTATTCCAGGTGTTAAAAGCTGAGACCGGCAGGTGTGTAGGACATATCATGATGTGGCTTTTTTTTTTTTTTTTGTAACACTGCACAGCATGTTCCTTAAAACAATGTACTTTAAAGAACCTACTTTGGTAGGCTGTTCATAGTTAAGTGTTCATATTATGATATATTTCTAGGGCTTTCTGGAATTTATTCATTACATTTAGCATTTAAAAAACCCCAGGCAATTGAAGGCATTTGTGAACAGTTTTTTTTTTTTTTACAGAAATATTATTGTCTTTCTTATTCTTGGAAACTTGGAAACTCAAATTTTGCTGTTAAATTTTAGACTCACAATATAGGGGTGCAATAGTAGTGCATGTGCATGCTTTCTAAGATGAAAATTATTCAGCCTCCCCCTAAAGAGTTTGATTCACCAGACCTGAGTCCAGGATCCACATTTGGGGCACGGACACCGATAATGCTGATTCTAGTGCTTTGAGAACCACATGTGAGAACTCTTGTCTTGAGATATAAAAGAACCATCAGAAAGGTAAATGACTAAAGGCACACAAGTGACAGGTATAATGTCATGTCTCTAGTGATAAAAGTAGGACATTTGTTCAATTAGGTTGCTTAGAGCATTTATTATACTGAATGAGTGCCACACAAGCAAAGGAAATTTATGCTGTCTAAGGCAGTAAAGGTAGAATAATTAGTTATTTTTTCACACAAAAATAATTTTTGACTACCATGTGTAGCAATATATCTGTTATTATAGTTTTATTTTATGCCCCCTGCCTTCATGCTCTACATTGTTCCTAATTCTTTAAGAGAGTTTTTGTGAGCAGGGGTGGAAATCCTAGTGGACATGGAGCTAAAGTTTCTTCTCTCTAAAACATGGCATTGAGTGTACACACACACACACACACACACACACACACACACACAGACACACACATAGACACATACACAGATACGCACATATACACACAGACACATACATACATACACACACACACAATTCATAAAGGTTGGTTAAAGAAAACCTCATAGTATCCTTATTTTACAAGCATTCACAAAATCCATAAAAGTTGCTTAAATAAAGCCCCATAGCATCCTCATTTTACAGGTGTGAAAACTATTAGGAAGAAGTTAAGTGATTTGCCAAGAGCCACAGAAGTAGGAAATAGCAGACTGGGGCTTCAATATCAATTTCTGACACCTGCCTTCCCATTTACCCAGTGCTGTCTCACAGTTGACTTCCCATAAAGATCGTAGAAACAGTGACGTCCCCTGTTGCATTCTGGATATAATTTGGTTTTGATGAAATGTGATTTACACATACACTTCCAGAAGAAAAGAATCTCATCTTGTTAAACATGGTACACATGTGCAGCAAAGAGAAAAAGCTGATGTCCATATGATGTCATAAAAATGCCCCAAAGGAAAGGACAGAGTTCTGTTTTCAGAATGAAGCAGTATTGGTAATAAACAGAGCCAAGACAAGCTAGCTGACTTATAAAACATTGTAACGCTGTCCTCTGAGGTATGCACACTGAATTATCTTACCAGTCTTCAGAATGCCCTGAGGGAGGTGGGAAAGGAACCAGAGAACAGGCTCAGCTATATGGACACAGCTTTCTGTGACTTAGGGACCACACCTTTGGTTTCTTGTTCCCAAGTGCGATGCCAACCATTGCTTTAGGCTTCCTGCCTTTCCCAGAGACTTCTCTAGATTTGTATTTTCCAGGGCACCCAGACCCGGTCTCACTTTCAATAAGTGTTTAGTAACAACAATAACACAGAAGCGAGTGTTTATTCAGATGGAAAATTAACATGGGTGTGATAACATTTGAGAGCTCTGTTTCCCACTCCCAAGGTTGTAAGGAGACTTACACAACAAGGGAGAGAACACAATTCCATGGAAGGTTGAGAGCAGCCTAGCCTACCTTGTGAGGTAAGCGCTGTTTTCAAATGTTCTCACATGTATTAGTTCCCTAATTAAAACACCACCGATGAAGTGAGTAGGATTCCCGTTTGTTTCATCTTTACAGATGAAACTCAAAGAAAACAACGATTGACTTCCTGCTGCAGTGAACTGTTGGTCTGAATTTCAACCTGGCTCATTTAGCCACACACGGAGGGTATGCAGATTCTCCTCTAGCTAGATAGCAGGTCTCTTAAGGGATGGTTGTGAGCCACCATGTGGTTGCTGGGAATATGAACTCAGGCCCTCTGGAAGAGCAGCCAGTGCTCTTAACCTCTGAGCCATCTTTTCAGCCCCCCCCCCTCCAAGCCCCAATTTCTACATTAATGAAACTTTATGACAATGACTGCAGTTGGAGTGGTTTGGAGCCCAGGAAGGATCGGATGGTAGATTTAACTGGAAAGGGATGGCTGTGGCAGAGCACACAGGAGCTGAGGACACATGGCAGAGAGATCTCACCCTCCCTGCCTCTCTGAGCATTGGTTTACGTCCAGCTGCTGCCCCGCCTTCCTGTGCTTCAGGTCAGTCATAAAGTGCTGACACGCATGCAGGTTTTGTGAGGGGACAGACCCTTCAGCCCAGTCACAATCCTAAGTATCTATTCAGGATCTCATTCTTCTGGTCAAGTCACTCTGTCATTGTGGCCTGAAGGGTTAGATACTGGAATATTCCAGCTTGGGTCACTGGACTTCAGGTCACAGGGCATAGAACTGACTCCACTCAAACCAAGTGACTGGGGAGAGAGCTTTTTTTCTGGGTGGGGGTTGTTCCAAATTGAGAAGGTATTGTAGATGTGTACTGTGAGACTTTTTGGCAAATATTTTAGCTTAGTTTTTAGATTGTACTTTAATTAAAAGATTTCTCCGTACCCTTTCCTCCCTCCAAAACTTCCCATATGCCCTTTCCTGCTCTCCTTCAAATTCATGGCCTCTTTTCTTCATGAATTATTATTTCATGCATGTTTATATTTGTGTATACATATATATTCCTAAATATAGCTGTTGAGTCCATATAATGTTAGCGTATGTATGTTTTCAGGGCTGGCCATTTGGCGCTGGAAACCAAATGGTGTGCTTTTCCCTGGGAAGGAACACTTCTCCTGCTCCCAGCTCTCCTTAGTTGCCTGTGGTTCTTTGTGTAAGGGTTGAGGCCTTGTGGGATTTCCCCTGTCCAGTTTCCATGCTCACTGCTGTCCTCTGTGTTCAGGTCACGTTTGGGCAGTGGTGTTGATGAGACACATCTGGAGATGGACATACAGGCATCATGCTGTTTCAGGATACTATGTCTAGTTCAACACAATCAGATGCTGGAATTCCAAAAGGAAACAGAAAGGGATCAGCCACAAAATGTAAGTCCAGAGGACAATAAAGGAGGAGACTTGGGGTCACAAACATTAATATTCCATAGAGGAAGGAAGGACAGGGAAGGATAAAGAAAGGGAAGAAAAGGAGGGAGGGGGAGAGAGTGGGTGGGGCATGGAGGGATAGACGGATGGAGAGGATGGAGGGGAAGGAGGGACAGAGGGAGGAAGGAAGGCCACTAGAATTTTAATTGGGGAAGAAATTTGCACTGGAGAAAATTCTAAGCAAGGTGAAAACCAGAACAAAGGTAGTGACAATAGGAAATGAGAAAATTAGAAACACCTGACAGATGGTAGCTAGACTCTACAGCCTGGGTGGTTACACACTAGCCTGACCTTAAAGTCAGAGGAAGAATAGGCAGGGAGGGTGAACTGAGGGAAGCTGGTGGGATTTGTGGCCTGTGCCAGAGAGGCCAGACCAGAAGGTCCAGCAGCTTGTTTTGGGATGAGGGTTCATGGTACAGGCTAAGCTGGCAGTGGCTGGGGTGGGAAAGAGTAGAAACGTGACAGTCAGATAAACAGTAGGTTAGCAGATTCATATTCTAGGCCTGGATCTCCCATAAACTAGCTGTGTGTATTTGTCTGATCCATATATTTCTCTGGGCTTTGTCCAGAGTATACTGGGAGAAACTACTGTTTTAAATCAGGTTAGTTCTACTATAGATCACCCCATTAGCAAAGCTATCACATGCAATGATATAGTTGATACAGACAAATTATAGAGTTATCTGAGTTCCTCCTGGGATTTTACCTTACAACTTTGCCATTAAGAAATTCTGGTGAAGGGCCGGGGAGAGGGTTCAGCAGTTGATTTTTCGGAGGACCTGGGTTCTATTTCAAGCACCCACATGGTGGCTCCCAGCAACTGTAACTCCAGTTCCAGGAGCTGGCCCTGGCAATCACACGTTATACACAGACTTACATGCAGGCAAAATACTCAAAAATATAAAATAAAATAAATCTAAAAAGAGAAACTTTACAGAAGGTCCAGGATTTTTTTTGTCATGAAAACATTGATTATAAAGGAATTCTCTCATTACTTTCATCGCATCTGATTCTATTCTTCACAAGGAAGTGGGCAACAGACATTAGATTTACATTTTCCTTATGTTATTATATTTTACCTTTTAAGGTATTTCTAAAAGAATTGTTTCTAAAATTCAAATACAATTATTTTTAGGATCGGAGCTTATTTTAAACAGTTTTTAAAAGGCAATGTTTAGAAAGTTACAAAAAAAATGAAACTACAATTTAAAACCACTGCTTACTATGTTCTATGAGGTCAGAATTTTTAATCAAGAAAGGAAAGTGAGCTTGAGGAACGGATACAGCAGTGTTCTTTTGAGCAGTCACAAGCGTACTTTTCCTAGGATGGAACACTCCATCTCACATGTAAAGTTATTCTGTATCTGGGGTTGGCAAAGAATTGGGAGAAATTCCCACAAGATCTGATTATAGCAAGTTCTTGGACAGATGCTTATCTCTACTTAATGGTGTTTTCATCCACACTAATTTTGTGGTTGTATGACATAGCCTTGCAAATCATATCACGCTCTGGTGAAGCCGCTCTGATTCAGTCCGATGATTTCCCCGATGAATTGGGGATAGTCCCCAGGATAGAGCTCGGAGGCTCAGCTGATGTTATTTGGGAAAATGGTTTTTACGGTCAATCCAGGAACATGTCATCAGATTTTGTTTCTCGGAGACGGAAACTGATCCTTCTGTGGTTACCCTTTGCCTCTGAGAGCTCTTGCAATGCGATGTCTGTTTATGGGTAGAGGCAAATGCTGAGGTGTCGTCACAGTCCCTGCAATTGTTTACTTCCCTAGGACCCAAGCCGATGCAGTCTGTTTACATTGATGTTTGCTCATTTCTCTGCAAGTTTCTATTTCACTGTGCTACTGGCAGAAGCAGTGACAGATTCCAGATTGTCCCCATGACTCTAGCAGACAGGAGAGTCCTGTCCACTGTACTTTGCTGAGGCAGCAACAGTCCCATGAGCCGCTGTCCCAGCTCACCCAGTGTTGGGGCAGAAGCAGCCACGGCCCTAGGTGCTGGTGAGAGTACTTGGCATCGTAAGCCCTGGGCAGAAGGAGTCTCACTGAGAATTCCTGGGGCTGGAGAGATGGCTGAGCAGTTAAGAGCGTTCATTCTTGCAGAGGAAGAACCTGGGGTTCAGCTCCCAGCACCGGCATGGTGGCTCACGAACCATCTGTAACTCCAGTTTCAGCAGATCGGATGAGGATACCAGGCACACATAAGGTGCACATACATTCATGAAGGCAAAAACACTTACAAGTAGAATAATTTAAAAATTACGCTTAAAGCTAGGCATAGTGTTACATGCCTTTAACATTTTAACACTTGGGATGCAGAGGCAGGTGGATCTCTGTGAATTTAAGGCCAACCTAGTCTACAAAACAAGTTCCAGGACAGCCAGGGCTGTTACACAGAGAAAACCTTAAAAAAAAAAAAAAAAAAAAAAAAGAAAAGAAGCTTAAAAAAATTCCTGTCATTTCTCCTGATTCCCTCAGTTGATGAGAGTCCAAAGAAAAGAATGTTCTTTTCCAGTATAGACCTGTGAATTGCTTAGCTGTTAACTGATCAGCTAACTGTGAGCTTTAAGTCTTAACTAATCATTGCTTGCCCTTGTCAACCAGTCTGTCTAACTAGTATTAAAGGAAAAATACTTCTTTGCCATAACTTTTCTTTTACCTCACCCCTTCTCCCCAGGCACCAAGTTATAGGTATTAAAATAGAATTTAAAGTTTTTGGGGACTGTTGAACTGGTAAAGGAGCTAGCCACCAAGATGATGACCTGAGTGTGACACTCAGAACCCTCGCGGTGGAAGAAGGAAGCTATCTTCTCATCTCTACATGCCGCCTGTTACCTGTGCACACTCACATTCAATCCCAAACCGCAACAACGAACAAGCAAATTAAAAAAAGTGTAAAGTTAATTTTTTTAGTTCTATTATTTTACAACCAGCCCATGAAGAGGCAGGTGTTCGTTTCTCGTGAGCAGTAAGTGGAAGTCTAATTTTCTTTTCTTTTTCAGGTTGTGTTTTGGGGCCTTTGTGTGGAAACTTAGGTGATCATGAATGGAAAGTAATTGTACAACCGCGTATGTTAGATTCATTTTAAAAGAATTTTGGGGTGAAACATCCTGGCAGTTGTACTGGTACATTGATACTGTCAAAAAGTGTTCTCTGTTTTTTGTTTTTGTTTTCGTTGTTTTTTCCCCCTCTTACCTCTGGTATTGGAGGTCAACACAGGACCTTTCATCTACTACAGATTTCTATACCCAGAAGCTCTTGCCTTTTGAGTCAGAATCCAGCTACTCGCCATACCAGGAACTCTAGGTGCGACCTCTCTTTACACACAGTAGTTGATAGGTACATTTCCTAGAATCTTAAATGTAAACTCCACTGATGGTACGCTTCACTTAGAAGTCTGTTTTTGTGTAGCTGGTCTGTGATTTCCACGTAGGGCTCACTTAGCTGTTAGACAGTCCCAGTCCCCACAATTAGAGATGCTCTTCCTTCTTCTCGTTGGGTGGTGTTGGGGACTGAACGTAAGGCCGCACAGGTACTGTCCACACCCTGCCGCTGAGCTGTGTCTCTGGCCCTTAGAGATGCCTTTGTGAAAGTGAAGGCTTCCTTTTGTTGAGTGAATTAATCAGCGAGGACTTACAAGGAAGGCTAAATGCACCCTCAACCAAACCCTGTGGCACGGTCTGGGACTGTATTGCCTTAGGCTCTGTCAGAGGATTTATAGTCCCGGAGGGATCTCTTGAATTTGGCAAGTGCTTCCGGTTTGCTGAATGACACATTCCTCTGGCAGTGTCGAGGTGGAGTGGGAGTGTTCCTGTACAGTTTACTCAGCTTGGATATTGCCAGGAAACCTAAAGACTTTGCTTTGGAAAGCACACAGCCTGTCTCTGCACACCCCAGGGATCAGGAGGAGAAAGCCACGCAGGCCCCAGAGGGAAACCACGGCTTTGAAGGAGGAAGGGCCTCCCCTCTTTCCCTTTAATTCATTGCAGACTGTAAATCTCTCCTCCATCTTGGGTTGCCCCAGTGTACCCAAATGCCCTGCACACACACATTTTGACTGAAGTAGACTGAATATAAATCCAAAGACGTCCCAAGGGGGAACACAGTCCTGAGTCTCCCCCTGGTGGACGTTTGTTGTACACGCTGCTGTCAAATTAAGGAAGGAAAGAATTTCAGAAATACACATATAAAAACGTATCATATACATAGTAAAAAATATTTTGCGACACCACCACTGTGCATTAGTGTTTTCTATGCACTAACTAAATTAAGTTACGCATCCACTTCTGTAATCTTGCTTTATTTCAAAGGATTACCTACACTTTGAAAGTTTAAATTTTAAATAAGTAGTTCTTCGACACAAAGCTGTCTAGAGAGTCTCCTCTGTACTTGATGAGAGAAATAAACCTTCTCTCTCTCTTTCTGTTGTAACAGGGGAAGACCAATGCATGGGCTATATAAAGTGTGTCATTTCTAATTAACACCTGGCAGTTCCCTAGGAACTTGCTTTGGGAACTCTCATAGTGAGCCCTATTCCTGGGGAGTGGCTTCCTTTGGGGTCCTCCACCTCAGGTGATGCTCAGCTCTTTGGAGACCTTTCTCTTAGGAACCCAGTGGCCAGTCCTCCCAATTGCTCTCTTCAAATGTGGCAATAAAGGGTGGCCACTGCTCTCTGCAGAGCCCCACATGTTTGTGACCTCTGTCATTATATTCTTTTGTCGTCCGTCAGACTCCGTCCCCACCTGTGACGCCGGGCTGGAGGCAGACATGGTCTGTCTCCACCAGTTCCTCCCATGATTTGAGACAGTGCCATTAGTCTCCATGTCACTTTTCCCTTTTGTTGTTTTTAAGCATTTTCTTTCCCTGAGGCAGGTCATCTCTGTAGCCCAATTAGGAATAGCAGTGATACATGATTGCAGTTAGGTTTAAATA